TAACCTCCAAAGCCCACCCAGATGAGACTTCCTGAGCTGCAGAAGCCAGAGCCACTCTTTCTCCAGCCCCCTACTCTGCTTTGAGCAGCTGAGCTCGGGCAAAGGAGCACTTTGCCAAGGACCAGCAGGCCAGCTCTGCTGTAACCTGTGCACTTTTGGGACAGCAAGAAAGGCTGGGGGTTTTCAAGGGAGAAGAGGACCTCCTTTATCTTCAGAGGCCTGCTGGGTTGCTGAAACTCTGGCTTGACCAGCTTGCTCTGACTAAACATGGGTGGGCGAGGGCTGTTCCCAGGACTCCATCCCAGCTGCATACCAGCCATGACAGGTGAGCAGGTGGCCCTGATGGCAGACAGGTGGGCAGGTGAGGGGGGTGAAGCTGCCAGTATCATGCACCCCAGTGAAGAAATGACCCCTCATCAATCTTGTAGGCCCAGGGCCCGTGTGGTCTGCTGCAGTAGCTCATTAACACTTCCTCGTCCTTATGTAGAGGTGGAAAATGATGACGGATGTGGCCAGATCCTTTCCAAAGCCATTTCATCAGAAAGGCACACATCTATCCTCCATCACTTGTAACATCCCTATGCATACCGAAGACCCTGAACAGCCTAGACCAAGGGGGTTTTCCTCCCAGGACAACAGTTTCTTAACTACCTCCAGATCACAGAACCTTCAGCCAACATCCCTCTTCCCTCCCCCACCTTCTGCTCCCAGACAACAAACCCATTCAGCTCCCAGACTTCCAAGTCCATGGGGTCAAGCTGGAATTTTCAGACCACCTGGAAAAGCATGCATCTACTGCCTCCTGTTTGCATAGCTGCCAAAGCCAGCAACTTCAGTCCTTGTATCTCTTAGGAGTCTTCTCTCAAGAGGGGCAGACTGGCCCACTTACTTGTCTGTGACGCTCTGCATGAACTCGTCCAGCAAGTCGTCATACTCCTTCCCGCGCACACGCTGGTGTTTCAGGCCGATGTACAGAGGGTCTCTGAGCAGCTCCTGGAACAGACAGCACCTGTTTACTGAGCCTGCTCCTAGCGTTCCTGCTTGCTTCCCCCGCCCCCAAACAAGTGTCTGGGTTTAGTGGGAAGGACCAGGGGATGGGAGGAGAGGAGAGAGTAGGAAGCTGGTTGGGTTCCTCCTGCTGCTCCTGCCCATGTTTCAGCTCTGGAAGGGTCCGGAGGCCAAGCCACTGGCTGAGGGTGGACTCCCAGGTGGTCTCCATTTTAGGAACCAAGGATGCTTTGAACCAGGCAAACCTCTCTCAGGTTTGCACAGTCTTCCAACCCTTGGCTGCAGGTTCTGGGTTTATTTCAGGGTTTCTCAGCAGTGACACTATTAACACCATTCTTTAATGTGAGGGCTGACCTGCACATTGTAGAATATTTAGCTGCCTCTCTGGCCTCTCGTCACTACAAGCCAGTAGCAAACACTTCATTCACTCATTCAATGAAATATCTACCATGTGCTAGGCCCGAGGGATACAAGGATAGAATGATACAACCAGAACTTCAGTTCAAGAAAGGTGCCCCTTAATGCTTAGCCTGTTTTAGGTGAGCCTCCACCTTGCTTCTAGGTCCATACTGTTTTGATATCACTGGAGGAGGAAGTTGGGTAAAGGTGTAGAGGACAGAAAATAGGAAATATTTGCCTTCCCCATCCCTCCCCCCAATCCTGCATCCACATAATCTGCCTGAGGTGGTTTAGCACTTAGTCCAAGGTATCACAGGCCCACATTAGACAGAAGGCGGGTCCTCACCTCCTCTGTCACTATCCTCGTCCCCTGGATTAAATGTACTTGAAACTATTAAGGATTCTTCCTTAGTAACTGTGTGTTGGGGG